GCGACTCGCTGGCGGCATATTGCCGTAATGCAGAGCACTCACAATCGGAGTGGCGGCTCACTTGACTTCAATTTTGCGAGTGGAGGCTGGCTTGACCGCAGTCCTTCGAGGAGCCGGCATAACGCTACCCAATAGCGACTTGTCACTGTACTGAGAGTTCTTATTCTTCCTGGGTGAAGTTTGGCTAGACCGCAGTTTATTAACTAATTTCAACGGAGCTGCACAGCCGAGCAACAGTAGTCTCACTTCACGATGTTGTTTTGGATTACTTCGCGTGAGTACCATTTATCTACTGTCTTCGTAATTAATTTATTTCTTTATTGTTGTATATATCAACTTTTTTTGCCCCACGAACCGATTTCATGTCAGACAATATTATCAGGGACCGACCTTTAAGGCCGGATAAATACAACAATATAATAGTAATATCTGTTTCTTGTTATTTTCGTATTTGAGGGCTGCGAGAGTTGCGTCGGATGATTTTAATGTTCAATAAAATAAGTAAAAACCCTTTTCTTTGCTTGATAATTGTTGCTATTTGCAGCCGGTAGAGTGCATATTTAGTTCACAAAGTCATTTATCAAAATGTATGCTAAATTTGTCACAAATATTTAAAAGAAAAGCTAAAGTTAAAATAGCTGTTTGAGAGCCAATAAGAGCCGGCTCTTTTCACTGAGCCGATCCAAATGAACCGGAGCACTGAAAAGATCTGAAAATCCCATCAATTGTGTGGACAGCCAGATCATCTGCTGCGACACTGCCCAAAGCTGTTCAACCAGCAGCGAAACGGAAAAGGGTCCGTGTAGCCCAGGCAACGCCGACCCCTCCAGTTGTTAACCGGGAACTGCAACCTGCATGCGGAGAGAAAGTTATAATGGTGGGTTGGACGGACAGTCCTGGTGGACACTGGGTCTTCAGTCACAATTGTGAGGCCTGATGTTGTTCCAATGGGAACCGTCTTAGAATCCACCTTTACAAAACTGAGGACCATGACCGGTGAAACGGCCAAGATGAGAGGCAAAAGGTTTGTGTTTGTCCTGGGCATTCGTCGACAACCCACTCAGCTTGGGTAGCCGACGTGAGTGATCGCTGCATTCTAGGACGGGACTTTTTAAAAGCTGCAAAATGTGTGGTGGACTTGGGAGCTGGGGTGCTCACCCTGCCGAGTGGTCGACATGTAGGGCTGATGACGGCGTATCGACAGGGTACTCCGGGGGTGACCATGAACACTGCAGACCCTGCAGCGGAGAACACAGACCGAAGACAGCATTCTATCCACCCGAGGACACTGGCAGTTGCTGCTGTTCAATGCTTTCTGCCGTCTTTGTTACTGATTTGTTGCTTTATTGTTGTATATGTTAGTTGCTCCATGTACAGCACTTTGTTTGCAGCGATGGCTGTTTGAAAGTGCTCTATAAATACAGTTGAGTTGTGTTGAGATTAAGGTCATGAGTTTTGGACTATGCAATGCACCCGGAACATTTGAACGTTTGATGGACACTGCTCTCAAACATTCCGAGGCAAAGGTGCCTGGTGTATTTGGATGATGTCCTCATCCATGGTGGGTCTTTTCAGGCTGCAATGGAGTCTCTGAGGCTGGTGCTGGGGAGAATTGCAGTGGCGGGGCTGAAACTGCACCCAGAAAAGTGTGACTTTATGCGGCGAGAGGTGGAGTTCCTGGGCCACAGAGTGAACGGTGAGGGCATCAGCACGCTGGAGGAAAAGGTCCGCAACATCAAAGATTGGCCAGTTCCAAGAGACCAGAAGCAGTTGAAAAGTTTTTTGGGGCTGGCCTGGTACTACAGGCGGTTCGTGAAGGGATTTTCTTGCATTGGGGCGCCCTTGTTCCGCCCCCTTAAAGACAACCAACTCTTCTTGTAGATGCCGGATTGTCAGGAGGCGTTCTCCAGCCTAAAAAGAGCCCTCATGAATGCTCCTGTTCTCACCCCGCTAGATCTAGCCTTGCCTTTTGCGCTCAACTCTGTGCGACAGTGGGTCCAGAGTGGCAGGAGGCCACCCCGGGAAGGCGTGATGAGACTCTTCGTTGCCACCAAAGGCTTTGTATTTGAAATGGGACTCCTGATACTGTCTATTAATTGTAGCCTTCTCTTACTTGAAAGTCATAGGCTCTTCCTCTGTCTCCTGGCTGGGCCTTTTCCCCTTCCCGAAAAAACGTTTCAGACGTTTGTTTTTTTTATGCGGTGACCTATCACGTGACCGAGAAGCACGCATTCACCTACGTCAAGAGTGACATACTGTAGACTGATAAAACAGAGAATCCGGTAACTTTTCAAAACAAAACATCTTTCAGATTTCAGATGAATAAAACTGAAGGAATGTAAGTTATTTATTCTTTCTGTGCGGCCCGGCAACAAATGAACCGTGGACCGGTACTGGTCCGCGGCCCGGCGGTTGGGGACCCCTGGAATATGATAGTTGTTCCATGTACAGCACTTTGCATACAGTGATGGCTGTTTTAAAGTGCTCTATAAATACATTTGAATTGAGTTGAGCGTAAGCGTAACGAAGACATGAAGACATGTCTGCCATCTTGTGATGCTGAACTTACAACTTCAAATTACAATTGACCCATGTATATTTAGTTCAGTGTTTCTCAAATAGTGGGGCGCGCCCCCCCAGAGGGAAATCGGTTCGTGGGGCAAAAAAAGTTGATAACGGCCCTTGAGGCTCCGTCAAGGGGGGCGCGTTTGACCTCGGGGAACATGCTTTTTTTCTTTTTTTACTGTCCGAAAATAACTTGCAGTTGCACCTCCACTACGTTAGGGGGCAGTGGCGCTCTCATTGGCAGAGTTTGCGCAGGGAGCATTCTAAGGGAGGAAATAAGATGAGGCGTATGTAACACTTGGCTTCACTGTGACAAGTTGGTGGCAGACGAGGAAAGATCGGTGAGCTAACTGTGTCTAAAAGTGTTGGTTGTACAGCATGAAGCTAAATAAATTAATGCGCCACTTAAAGACATTACACCCCAATCACGCTGATAAGCTGCTCGAGATTATTTTCCAGCGAAAACGTGCCGAATATTGCCAACAATCATGCCGCTTTGTGACTGCTACTTCAATAAACTGAAATACAGATCCCGGCTACACATTGAGCAGGAGCCGAGAGTTGCTGTGTCTAGCTTCAAACCTCGCTTCGAAAACCTGTGCATTGCAAAACGTGCTCATTGTAGCCATTAATCCAGACATCATCTTTTATTTTAAAAAAAAAAAAGCACAAATCAATTTATATATTTTTGTTTTGCTGGTTAATGTTTTTTTTTTTTTGAGATAATGTTGGTGATTAGTTTGAATGCATTATTAATCATTGATTTTATGTAATTTTATTTTTCAGTATCGTATGGTTTGACATGGTCAGTCAAAAAATATTTTTAGTTAAATTAAGAATTTAATGTAATTTTTGAATTTCAGATGCACTTTAAATCTTTTCACGGAGGGGGGTTTCCTCTTCCTAGGGGTGGCATGACAGAAAATAATTGAGAACCACTGATTTAGTTCAACACCCAGAGATTCAGAGATTCCTCGCCCCCCTTTCCTCACCAATTGTTTTTTTTAATCATGTTTTGAATTTTTCCTTTTTCCCCCCTAGGATTTTTTAGCCACATTTCACCTCCGTTTTTTTTTTGTTTTTTTTTTTGTGGCAAACATGGACATTTTTTTGGTGTGTTTAAGAAATAGATAGCATGAGTCTTTAGTCTGTGTGAGAGAGACTATGTTACAGTATTTTGTCTGTTTTTGTTTTCTCTTGTCTGCTAGTTGTTTTTGTGTGCATTGGCCACTCCATTGGTCCCTTCTGCAAAGTCACGTTTGATGCCAAAAGGTGCTACTTCCAAATCATCGAGGATGAAAACCCGCTTTGCGCTCCTTATCAGTGGATCAATGGGACGGTGGGTATTGGTGTTATCTTGCTAGTTACTTTTTCTTTCACTGTGCTAATACTGTCAAACTAGGGGATGGGATCCAGGTCTATAGGTACCATTTCAAATGAGAGTTGATCAAATGCTACCATCCTATCAGTCCGTGTGCTAACATAACACAATCGGAGTACAGAAAGGCAGCCACGGCACCTCAATAAGGATGTTACATCTCTCCATCTCAGTTGGGTGCCATTATGATAAATGATCAAAGGATGACATGCTAGCAGGTACCAGGAGCACACATAGCTAGGTAGCAACCTGAGTAGAGAAAGTGCTTTGGAAGCTTGATCAGATTTTTACATCACATCATGCTCTGTAGTCCACTACTATTTCTAGTGAGAATCAATAAAATGTGAAAATACAGCAATCTGAGTACAGAAAGATCTGAGGCAGATGAATAATAATGCATCACACTCTGTAGTCAGGTCTTACTTTGGTGAAATGCTCACATACTAGCAGTTGGTAGGCTATAGCCAGCCATCCAAGTAGAGAAAGCACTCAGGCAGCTTCCAAATGATCGTGCATCTGTTCTTTTTAGAACTTTGTGCTGGCTAACCACAAACAAATGTCCGTACCTGACATTGTAATCCATGGATGGAACGACACCTATCTTCAGCTCAGCACGTGTTTGGAGAAAATCAGTCGCAAACGAAACTGCCACAGAGAGGTCAGAAAATGTCATAAATGCACCAGCAACACGGTGTTCACATTTTTCCGAATGACATGCTAAGCTAAGTGACATATTTCTGTTGGTCTTTCTGCTCAGGATCATGAACAAACTGTCGACTGCAATGGTAAGTCTCATTATCATGATTGTTCAACTCCTCCATTTCTGTTTAAAAACAACAAAAAAAAAAAAACACGCGCTGACAACATAGATTGAACAAATGTGCAACACTGTGGAGTGATCACCTGTAGATTGCGGTCGACTGAACAAAGCAAATCAAAAAGCGTGTGAGGACTCCCCTAAATGTTAACACAAGAGTATGATTTTATGATTGGAAATAATCTCAATTCTCAAAATGAATTGACTCAAAAAAACCCCAAAGGACTCTTGCAGTAGTCACAATTAAGATGTGGTTTCAGTTGGGGCTCGCAAGTGCACAATACACATCATTTATGTGTCACGGCAACTTTGGACAAGAGGCCTGAGCCAGAGCCACGATTGCCTGGCCATTTGGGCCACATGGAAAAAAAGAAACCTTTTTTTTTTTTTTTGCTTGAGCGTTAGCATCGTGTCCGAGCTGCTGACACACATTTGCAAGCAGCAGCAACAGCAAAGGGAAAAAAAAAAAGTGAATACTGACACAAACAATATTAATGATGTAATTATACTTTTTTTTTTAACTGTCAAACTCTCAAATGAGCGGTCGACCTTCACAGAAATAAGAAACCATCAAACGGATGCCATAGTATGAGTTATACGAGTGTATGTTGCATGTGTGTTGCTGTTGAGCGGTTGTGATGAACCTCGGTGTCACGCTGCCAACCGTAAGTGCTCTCATTTCCGAGTTGTTGAACGCATCACTGGGTGGGAACGGGAAAAAGACGAGAGAGCTCGCAAGCAAAAGGGAAGTGTGTGCGATTTTTATACAGTAACTTAACGCTATATTATGTTCTGGCATCAGCTATGGCGATACAGTAGCTGTGGTTTGTTCATAAACGAAGTTCACTTATTGTCTCTCGTGATCCTGAGGAGATGCTAACATATCAAAAAAGCAGCACCTCCGATGCACTTTCACAGTGAGTAGCAAAAATTAGCTTCATGAGCTATTCATCCGTTTTCCATACCACTTATCTCTACTCGGGTCGCAAGTGTGCCGGAGCTTGTTGTAATATAAATTGCTCGTCAAGGTGTGCGAGGCCCTGCGATAGGCTGGCAACCAGGCCAGGGTGGACCCTACCTCCTGCCCTAAGACAGCAGGGACCTATCCCAGCTATCTTCCAGCACGTCCGGAATCCTTTTAAGCGGTTCAAATAATGGATGGATCGTAACTGACATTACAAATATTGGAAGAAAAGTACATGTTTTTTCACAACCACTAGTATCGGTAAACATCTACACAATGTACTAAATGTCCCCCCTCCTTATATCTATTTATATTGATGATTTATTTATTTTTTATTTTTTTAATGCGTGTTAGCGAATTCATCCTAGCTCCCTGGAAATAAAAGGGGTGTTCACACGGCAACTTTTACTCCGATGTAGCACCGGGGCTGCCCCCCGTAGAGCGTTGACACGTACAAAGTTATACCGGTGTAGCCCCTGAAAATAGCTTAAACCGGAGCAAATTTAACCCTGCTCGGGAGGTGGTTTAAAAATTTACTCCGGAGTAAATGCAGCACCAATATAAAATGGCACCAATATAAAATGGGATGTGTGAACGCTACAGGGGTAGACTCACTACGCGTGAGAAGAGTTGATTTCATACGGGTATTGCATAACTTGCATCCTGGGTATTTTGCACTTCTTTCCTTTCTCTCATCCTTTTACGGTGTCTGCTAGACCAGTGTTTTTCAACCGGTGTGCCGCGGCACCGGGCTACAAAACGGACCTTTGGATGTCAAGCAGCTAAGACAAGAAGAGCTCTGATGCTGGAAGAGAGGGTAAAAGTAATCAAAATGAAAGACGGAGCCAGCAAAATAAAAGACATTATCCAAGAAATTGATGTAAGTGAAAGTGAACGCTGGTCGTAAATTTTGCAATTTCTTTACCTTTTTTTCTTTCTACACTGACAATATGAAGTGTCAAATAAGTGTGTGCTCGCTCATACTTATGCACTATTGGAATAAAAATAGAGTACACGTACGTTTGTGTGTGCGTGTACACATACGTTTGTGTGCGCGTGTGTGTGTGTGTGTGTGTGTGTGTGGGTGTGTGTGGGTGGGTGTGTGGGTGTGCTTACATCTGAGATCAAATTTGCCACAGTGAAAAACCCCCTGTTGTGAAAAATTTCTTGCCGCAAACATGATTTCGTTGTAGAGGAGTTTCACTGTATACCCCAAACTGATCCAGCCTGATTATCCTCCCCAACATTATTAATGGTTTTCACAGTCTCAACAAATAAAGATACGTCTTTGTCCGTCTCTGTGCCTTCTCTTTTTCCGGTCTCCATGCCTTCTCTTCTTCCGTTCGACTCGAGAGGCGTTCATGACCGCCTCGGAAAAACGTAAATTAACTATTCCTTCAATGAAACTACGAAAATTGAAAATAATGCATCAAAACAGAAAATCAAGCGAGGAAATCACGAAATAAATTCTATAGCCCCACTACAGAATTTATTTGGTGATTTACTCGTTTGTGAATACAGTACACAACAAAGGAATAAATAAACACTTCTGAGACAGTCCAGTCTCCTCCAATTTAACTCAACTCAACTGTATTTATCGAGCACTTTCAAACAGCCATTGCTGCATACAAAGTGCTGTACATGGAGCAACTAACATATATATACAACAATAAAGCAATAATGAGTAACAAAGATGATAGTAGGCACCAAACAGTAAAGCTAAGACCAAATTTACTGACATCTGATCGTTCTGTTGCAGCTACGCTCAAGGAAGTGCCAAAATAAATTCTGTCGGGGGGCTATCGAATTAATTTTGTGATTTTATGTTTTGATGCATTACTGTATTTTAAATTTTCGTAGTTTCATTCAAGTAGTTGTTGGTTTACTTTTTTGGAGGCGGTCATGAACGCCTCTCGAGTCTAACAGAGGAACAGAAGGCACGGAGACAGACAAAGACGTACCCATATCTCCATCTAGTGGATGCATTGTACATTGCGCCTTATAGTCCAGTGCGTCCAATATATGAAAAAAATTAAAATATAGGCCATTCATTGAAGGTGCGCCGCATAATCCAGTGCGCCTTTTAGTGCGGAAAATACAGTACACTTTACACATGCGCATGTTTTATTTCCGTATTATTATCGTATTGCACGGCCGCAGAAACTGCCGTGTGAACGCAAGTGGGGCTGCACCGGGGTTAACACGCTTCTCTTTAGTAAGCATCTTTATACGTGTGAACGCTCCACAAAATTTACACCAGTGTAAGATATATCGCAACAAAATACATCAGTGCAGCATCGATGCAAATGTGTTCCGTGTGAACACCACTCAATACAACAAAGTGCCTGTATGTAGAATGGGGTAGACTGGTTGTAATAACAAACAGCGCAGTTCCCCGAAAACAGGAATACACAACAAGAAATACACGAGACACTCTGGCGTGACCGTCTGGCGCTTGGTGAGCAGAACAAACCGTTTTTAAAGTAGGCCCAGAATTTAAAGAAATATTCTGTCAGCATGTAATACAATAGGACGATCTCGATTTCTTACATCTGTCGTTGTGTTTTTCATTCACAGTTGACTGCAGTAAAATTTCAAAAGCTCTCCAGTCTAATGGTAAGTGTACACTGCAAGTACACAATCAGCACATACTGCTTGAATACCCCCCACCCTCCGACCCCTTCACATTCACCTCATTTGTGTCCGCACCTTGGCAACACTCATACAAAGCTAACATGTTTTTGTAAACGCATAGTTTGGAGTTTTACAAAAAGATCATGTATGTTTTTAATTGTTGTTATTGTTGTCAAAAAAAATGCATCTATCCCCCATGATGAACTGGGATTCACTGTACCATGTTGCTTACTGCACAAAAAAATGTTCAACCTTGTGCTCTTCTGACAGGAATTACACCTGGGATTTCCATTGCCGTGCTGCTGCTCTCTCTGGTGGTTCTGGGGTTCGTTGGTTGGTTCGACATCCGCCCCAGAGTTACTGGGAAAAGAAAAACTTGCGGATCATTTACAGCAGCAAAATTATTAAAGGGAGAACTAGACAAACAACAAGTACATAAATTAATGGCGGCAAACGATTAAAATATTTAATTGTGATTAAATGTATAAATGTCACCGTTAACTCATAATTAATCACAATTGAGCACACATTTTTATCTATTCTAAATTTCCTTTGATTTCTTTTTGTCCTATTTTTCCCCATTTTAATGCTCTCATCAACATGGAATAGCGGACTGGTTTTCTTTGTGCAAAATGCAAATATTTATTGAAACAACAATTTCAATTTTATATAAAAAATTTTCACTTGGAGCAGTTATCCACACTTGGAGCACATAATCGCTCACACAATATAACTGTCCATCAATTACAGTGAAAAAAAAAAGTCACACAAACGCTCCTTTAACAGCCTTTTTCAGGGAATCAAAACAGAGCAA